AAACCGAGGTCCCGTGTACATATTGGCGTGCACGTAAAAGATCCCTTGGCAGTTGGAATTCGATATAAGAGTAGGCCGTAGCGCCGCGGCCCGGGCGAAATTTCCCTCATAGCACACTGTATGGCGTTTGCCCGTCTTCATTAGCCCAGTTTCGGAGCAGAACAGTAGGACGTTAAACCCCATTTCATTTCATTTCCTTTTCTAATATCCCATAATGTATCTTTGCGTGATCTTTGAGTATTTATTAAATGCTGTTTGGGAAATTAATAATTGAGTAACTATTAGGGTGATCTTTAAGTATTTATTAAATGCTGTTTGGGAAATTAATAATTGATATTTGAGTAACTATTGGGTGATCTTTGAGTATTCATTAAGTGATGTTTGGGAAATGACTTTCCGTGGAGACCCAGACAATTAAATTCTAATCCAAGCTTCTATCCACTCCATTGGCACTCCCATGTTAATTGTAAAACTCTTATTGATTGTAAATGAAGCAAGTCAGATCAATGCGACCTGGGGTAAAGATAAAACTGTATTACCAGTAGAAATGATTGCGATAGTTTAGACTAGGGATGTAAGAGTTGAAATTATGTGGTTGCTCCTCTGTGACTTTGCTGTTTCAATGATTCTTTATGTGTATTATGGATTTTTTTAACTATCCATTTTGGGTACAGTGATAAATAAAGGTTTTGTGCGTCTGTATCTCATTTACCAAATACCTGTATCCTAATGTTTTATTTTCTAAAATTTTATTATCTTATTTTACCAAATGTTTTAATTTTTTTTTATGATTTTCTATCTATATTGTTTTACATTATCACATAATATATTCATTTTGTACAAGCGCCACAGAGCAGATTTACAAGCTGGATTTGGGGGCTGTACAAGTTCAATAAATTCTTATAATTATTATTGGTGATGGATGTGGTGGGTGTGGTAGGGAACTGTTTCGATAAATCTGTGAGACCGCCTCTGTACAAAAATCTAAGGTAATGTTATTCCATTTCCGACGATGAAAAGATAAAAGCTTGTAACACTATCTTAGTGATAACAGATATTAGTTTAGTAAATATATCATTTATTCAGATCAGGTATAAAAAAACGGCTACATCGAGAATATAAACGATATAACATGATACATTAAGACATCCATAACGAGTGAGTCCATACGCCGGTCTCTGCTCTTCGCTTCCCCCCTCACTCTGTCTCTCGTCTCGCCCCCGCTCGTCAACAAACTCCTGGTTATACAGCATCCGACAATATCACGTTATGGTATGCTTACTGACCAGTGCACACTCATTTGATGTCATACGGAGCTTGAACACAGATCATAATATGTAGTTTGTAAATGACATATGGGATTAATTGCATGTTTAATTAAAACGTGACTAAACAGAAGTATATAGAGTTGAAAAGTCATTATCAAAAACCAGCTGAGGCCAATAATTTCTAAGCACCTATATAATCGTTCAATTGATGAAAGTTATAAAGTACTTTGTCACAAGCTATGCGGACACAACTAATTACAACACTGGTTTAAAAACAGTTTAATGTTCTTTATCGCTCAACCGGTGAAACTAATGTAATTGTATAGATATGGACAAAATACAACAATTTATACATAATTATTTACATAGTGACACTGTGGTATTAATTGTCTATAGTTACAATAATAATTGTATGTGGTTACATTACAACTTATTAGTTGTTTACTATTATTATTATTATGTTCATAGGTAGTTGGATGGCCGAATGGTTAGCACGTGTGCGCTGTATCATAAGGTCTATCATTGAGTCATCTGGCGTGGTTTCGTTTCCCCGGTTGTACATGACAAGGTTAGGGTCGACTGTCCAACCTCGTGGGTTTTCTCCGGGTCCTTCGGTTTCCTCCCACTGCTAAAGACCCCTACGCGCAAGCGAATAATTGAAATGAAATTGAACTATATGTTAGTCCCGAAATGACTCTCTCGCTTTGTGAACTCCGGTACTGCGAATTGTTGAAATTGTTCATTGTTCTGTAATACTCTTCATATTTGGAGAATCAGTAAAGATTGTTATTGTATGTCTTGAAAAGCTCAAGCAAAACCTGTACACAATTAAACAATAGTACTTTCTTTAAGCATTTTAACTCTTTTTTCTATATTAACACTAGACCTACTAAGGTTTCAATTTCATACAAACCTGTGGTTTTAGTAAACCTGATGTTAAAATCGTGATCAAATGTACTATTAAGAGACAATGTTAGCCATATGTAATAACATTTCTTGGTCTTTCAAACGCTGGATAAAGGAACTAGAAACAGAGGGTATAGTCTGTATTTTAATGAGAAACTTTAGGCGAGGTATCCTCAGTGTTTCCGGAACATCTGACTCCACTCGGTACATGTTGGAGAATCTATTTTTATGTCAGGCAAAAACAAATAATTCCCGTGTTTCCGATAACATGGCCAAATAAACATTGGGTCCGTCTGTAGGAAAATCGTCTAACTTTTTTCGTCAATCGCTGTGTATATTCATAATAACTACGACACACACTTTAGACATTTCTTGGGCCAAAAAAAAAAAATAATAATACCCGAGTTTTCGGTCACATGGTAAAAAAAAAACACGTTCGATCAAGTGTATGGGATTTTGAATACGGTAATGTGATTGTTATCTATTTTCTAGCATTTCCCACTTGTTACGGTTCGTGTATGCTGTACCAATGATGTCCAGTCCAAATTGCCACCATAGCACACTGCATGCGCTGTGTGTGTCTTCGTTGTCCCAGTTGGGACAGAAAAGTAAAACGTAAAATCCCATTTCATACATTTTCCGGACACCTGGTCTCTTATTATAGCAGTTTCTCGAGATGTGATTTGTCAATTACGTTCATCAATTAATTTTTAATAGTGTTTATGTCTTTAGGCCACCCGTGTACGCTCTTATATATACGTAATTTGATAGTCCCCAAAAGTTTTACAATGTCTGCATAGTGTCTCGAAAATACGTTTACCTATTATAGTGTGTTAGTTTGCTTTATTCAGTAGTCGCCATCTTGCATATGTGTCATGTATTATTAAAATCATATCATAGTTAAATTGTATTACGTGCATGGAATATTACAAGTTGGGGAGACATGTATATAAATAAAATGAAATTAAAGGGGTTTAACGTCCTACTTTTATGCCCCATAAAGGCATATGCCGAGCAGTGTGGGTTTTTTTCTGCGATATCACCCTAGGTGTAAGCGGACGTTAAGCATGACATAAAGTCAAGGCATGGGGGACATTTTGCGCCTACATCGGCGCTACGACCTACTCTTATTTCGAATTCCAAGAGCAAACAGTTCTTGTGTACGCGGGATCTCGGTTTTAGAACAGGATATGGCTATTGGATCGGTTGCTCTATAAACTTCAGTATTATATATACTCTTCAAAAAAAGTAGGGGATATTCAGAAACAATACAAAACTGCGGAAATGCACTGCTGTTTTTATTAGAGGTAACCAGTATATGTTAATAACAGATCAATTGCCTACACATGAACATAAACAGTTCATATGGGCGGCTTATCTGACGACTCCATTTCACTAGCAAAGAGATACACTGTCAAAGGTGAAAATAGACGTTTTTATTTTTTGTCTTGATAATGAGTAATTGCTCCACCAATCCTCAGACATTCAGCAATTCGTCGTGGCATGCTCCTAATCACCCGTCCAATCACGATTTGGGGCAATCTGACCCACTCCTCTTGCAGTGTCACTGCCAATTCTTGCAGTGTTGTCGGTTGACGTTGACGTCGACGAACACGTCTTCCAATCAAATTAAACGTAACACACTAAAGCAAAGATACGTTAAACAGTAAATATTATGCAAGAACCGATAGGAAAGCAAATGTGGATAGGATAAACCAGCAAGCGGCAGTTTTCATCAACCCCTCCTTGAAGTGTCAAATTTGACAATGAACACCTCCCACGTGTATGGCGCTATTGCGTGTCGCATGTGCAGCTCAGTGGTTCTGTTGAGGCGATAACTTCTTCATCTGTGAACATACTCTTAAAGCATGTCAAGTGTCCATGACTATATATCATATTATGACAACCTGCATAGGTATTTGCATTTCAATATCCCCTACTTTTTTGAAGAGTATATAATAGGTGTATATTTTAAAAACTAAAATGTAATAAAAATAAACGTATAGGGTTTTTAATAAGGTTATTAATCTATATATAACTCCAATCATGTCCAATATTTGTGAAACATGATATTATATACTATAGACAGATTGCTCTAAATGAAAATCACCCACGTGTTCTAAAAAAAAACCAACTAAAAAAAAACAACGTTTGAAACACTTTCTTCTTAAATTAGTTTGACTACCAAAATAACGTAAGAAAGGGATATTATTTGAAGGTGTTTTAGAATTTCTAAATTAATATGTATATTAACAATAAGTACTGTAATTTTATATTACAGATACATTATGTTATTGTAATGTCATATTACAGATATGTTATTGTAATGTTATGTTATTACAGATATACTCTGTTATTGTAATGTTATATTACAGATATATTATGATACTGTAATGTTATATTACAGATATATTATGATATTGTAATGTATTGAAATGCTATATTATGTTATTGTAATGTTGTATTGTTATGTTATATTACAGATACAATATTATATTAGTGTAATATTACAGATATATCATGATAGTGTAATGTTATGTTACAGATATGTTATTATAATGTTGTTTTGTATTATATTTCAAGATGTTTTATATTATATTAGATATATATTATGATATTGCAATGCTATTTTACATATATATTGTGTTATTGTAATGTTATATTACAAATACATTATATTATGATATTGTAATGTTATGTTGCATTATATTACATATATTATGATATTGTATTGTTATATTGTATCATATGACAGATATAATATGATATTGTAATGTTATATGTTATATTGCATTATATTACAGATAAATTATGTATGGAACCAGAGCAGATCCATCTGAGTTTAGGTGATGATTATAGTAAGATGATAGTCATGTGGTCATCCCCTGTTAATACAACAAGTTGGGTTGAATATAGATCAATTAGCGATCAGATATCATATAAATCCTACAGTACAGTTCGGCAGCTGACCGTCGATGCTTACAACGCTTTGCCATTTATACACAAAGCTGTACTACAGGTAAGGCACACAACCTGTCAACTAAACAGAATAAATGAAATGAAATGGGGTTCAACGTCCTACTGTTCTACTACGACTGGGTGAATGAAGACAAGCATACGCCATACAGTGTGCTATGAGGGAAATTTTGCCCGGACAGTGGCGCCACGGCCTACTTTTATATCGAATTCCAACCGCCAAGGGATCTTTTATACACAAGCTAATGTGTACATGGGACCTCGGTTTTTCGTCTCATCCGAACGACTAGACAGCTGTCCTTGTAAGGCCTCTGTTCGGCACTACTGACAAGAGGGGAAACCACGCCGGAAAATCCCGACGAACTTTCCCGGTCAATACTGGGGTCGAATCCGCGACCTCCAGGCTAAACAGAATATATACACCGTTTAACATCCAATATCTCATTTTAAGATTGTCGACATGGCATCCATGGACATTTTCAGCTGGCCAAAGCTCAGCCAAATCATTTTTTTTTCATTGTCATGGTTCAGTTCCGTTCAGTATTAACAAAGATATGTGGAATTGAAATTTCATCGACCTGTGCTGCTCGCTGTGCAATAATCCCGCCGCCCTTTTGTTATCCACGAAAATGTAATGATAGACCTGTTTTAAATCCGATTAAAACCAAACCGGGACATTATCTAGCGTTGGTATTTTGATTTTGTTTTTATAATTAAATGTTAAATAATCAATTTGAGTTACATGTCGGTGTGGATTAAGCCGTTCGAAATTTGAACTTTTAGCGACAAATGTCAATGGCGCATTTAGAATCTCGTGAGGCTGGACATGTACAAGATAGGAATCGATACCACGCTACTTGACAGCAATTTTGATCTAAAGTGCGCCTAAGACCATTCTCTACCCCCACCCCCCGCCCACCCCCCGAACTTAGAAGAAGGCAGTGTTGCATTTAACTGAATATACATTATTATTTCTACCATGATATAACCATTTATCCAGAACGGACGTTAAACCCCATTTCATTTCATTTATAACCATTAATTGTGTTTTCTTTTTATTATTTTTTATCAGAATTTAGAAGAAGGCAGCGAATATAGATATTATATATCAACACGGTGTTTGAACAGAAACATCATCTCAAGTAACCAATATAACTTTACAACTATAAAGACTCAATATGTGAGTGTACATTTCAGATAATATATAATTCATTTAGTTTATGGGAAAGGGCTGGGTAACATAAATCATAGCATTTTGATTATCCAGTGGGGACCCACAAAAAAAAGAATAATGTCGTCTCAGTTTGACTGGCTACACACTTTAGCTCGGTTCCCCTCGGAAGCTCCTGGTTCGCTCGCCCGGTGATGGCAATCTAATTAAAATACAGATCTATATTTCGTTTCGTTTTTTTTTATACTTTCGATGGCCTACACTACATGGAGATCTGACCGGTTGTGGTAAAAGGTTGCGTCAGAGATCGTACGAACGGTTTTTGATCCTATCACCTCAGACATTGATTAATCACTCGGCGTTGATGTTTCGCCGTAACAGATGGTTTCTAGATCCTAGTGTAGGACAGACAAATAGAACGAAATTTTGAACTATAATAAACGAAACGAAATAGGATCTGTGTTTTAATCAGATTGTTTCATTTTATTTGTTTTCATACAGAACCTATTGTTCTTTAAATCAACAGAGGATTGAATTATTAACTTGCTTTAGGGTTGTTTTCATGCTGTCTATGATTTAAAACAACCCAACTCTTTGTGTATAGTGCTGTTATTTATTTATAATATTCCTTTATTACTTGTTTCTAAGTAGTACTGTATTGTATCATTGTGTATGCCTGCGGGGAATCAAATTCACGTCAATAGACTCAATGATAGACCTTATGATCTAGAATGCACGCGATAAAACATTAAAACATTCGGCCGCCAAACCCCATCTCAGTAGAGTATTTCACATAATTAACGAATTGCATTAAAGGAGGAGCCCACTGTATCTCATGAACCAACCAGAATGTGCCAAGATGACCAAAAAGGTTCTAGGGATTTTCCAGCCCCGTTTGCTCCAGTCTGGTTTTAAAAAAACATGGCCTATTTCATTTCGTTTTTTTTTTCAAAAATTTCGTTTTACTTGCCTTCACTACTCTATGATCTAGATGTGCTGTTATATAACCCGCGTTCTGGTTGATGTGAGGGATAATTAGTCAATGGAACGGTCTGTGGCTAGACATTCGCAGCAAAATGAAATGAAATAAAATAAAATGGGGTTTAACGTCCTTCTGTTCCGACTGGGTTGGTGGAGACGGCATCCGCAGCGAAGACAAAGCAAAAGTTGTATTTCCAAATACCCACTTAAACATCAATGATGATTGGTTAATCAAATGTCTGACGTCATAGGGTCAAAAGCTGCTCGTGTGACCCCTGACACGACCTCTCACTACAACTGGTCATATCTACATGTTGTTGAAGCCATCGAAAGTATAAAAAAAACGAAACGAAATATAAATCGGTATTTCAATCAGATTGGGTTTCCCCTTGTCAGTGGCACAGGAGGCTAGTTTGCAATGTGCCAGGGACGAAAAACCGAATTGACCTAATTTGTTGTCGAGTGGACGTTAACACCCCCATCTCTCTCTATATATATCTCTCTCTCCCTCTCTCTCCCATTACTCCTAGTTAACTCCACTTCCATTTCCTGTGGTATTACAGGTATCCCCCATGTCTGTGTTGGTATATGGTGATATGGGTGCACGTGTCGGTCTTGAAACTATAAGTAAACTACAAGAAGAGATAGAAACCAGTAAATATACGTGTATCTGGCATATAGGAGATCTAGCTTATGATTTATACACGGATGGGGGCGCGGTAAGTAGATTTGATTTTTTAATCTGCCCAACTGCGAGAGTGTTGTGATGGCCTAGTGGTCTAGATTGCCACGCTTCGACCTCTAGCTGGCGGACACCTCTGGCTTGCGGCTGTGGTTTCGATTCCTGGTGTGAGCGTATGTGGCTTAGAGATAGGGGGCGCCTTCTTAACCTCGTGGGTTAACTCCGGGTACTCCGGTTTCCTCCTGCGCTAAGATAATAATAATAAAAAAAGACCTGTCTGCGATATCACCTTCGGTGGAAGCGGACGTTAAACACTAAGAACAACAACAACGAGAGTGTAATCGTTCCGCGTAATTTACTATGGAGGACTGGATAACATAAATCATTGCATGCTAATTATCCAAGTAACATGCAAAAACGTAATGAAATGAAATGGGGTTTAGCGTCCTACTGTTCTGCACCAGTAAAGGTAGAGCTTGCTTCTTGATAAATCCACGGTTTTTCTTCCCTTATAGACTCGATGCGTCATTTATATTTTCACTAAAATATCAAATTTCCCACGGCTTAATACACGCTAAATATGTATTCAGTTTGATTATTTAAAATTTTAAAAATAAGAAAACAAAAATCAAAATATCAACGCTAGATAATCGCCCAGCTTGGATTCAATCTGACTTAAACTATACGAAGCAGTCAATAAAAGATAGTGGCGTCTTGTTATACTTCTAGCAACATAAATCTATGAAATTTCAATTTATCATAACTTTGTAAATACGCTATAATATAGGAGAAATGTTACCCAGTTAGTAGCGCTACTGCCTATACGTATTTCGAATTCCAGTAGACTGCCAATGGCTAGCTTGATCGGACATCCGTGAGTATTAAATCGATATGATAGTATTTAACCCAACGACATGATGAAACGTAACCATGAACTATTTTATAGATTTATTGATAATTGTACAATAATTGACTTAAATCAATCTCTCTCAGCTTGAGTTTATCGATTTAAAACACAGTATTTTTATATATCGATGTAAGGGTACGCGAACAGTTTCATACGTAACATTTAACTAAAAAGCCAGTTGAGCGAGTGTCGAAACAAACTATGTTAATTCAATAATTCGCTTGCGCGTCGCGATCTTTAGTACTGTGGCCATAAACACCTGTCATCATTCCAATAATTTTTGTGTTTTAAAACACTCTTTCATCTTCCTTTAGTCGTAAGGATGAGGGTTTGGGAGAGGCCTCGTTAGTGGAATAGCCTAAGGCCTCTTTTCACCTTAAATCTGACATTGTTATTACCAGGTGACTATAATATCGTATTTATTGATTTCAGATCGGTGATCAGTTCATGCGAGAAATACAAAATCTATCAGCTTATCTACCTTATATGACGTCTCCAGGAAATCATGGTAAGCTATCAACAGGAACCAGATCTTGAATGGAACCGACATTCGATGTTTTAATAACAAACAGTTCCAGAAATAATAACTTTGGTTTGTTGTAATAGGGTTAATTTTGGAAGGGCACCGACCACCTCAGTTTTAAAAATAACAGTACATATGTAAAATGATATGATTTTTTTCCGTACTGTTTTTGAACGTCCAGAAATTTAAACTTGGCTTTATTGTAATAGCGGGGACTATAACCCCAAGGAGATTTAAACTTAGCTTTATTGTAATAGCGGGGACTATAACCCCAAGGAGGCTTCTTTATGCACTTCTTTATGCACTCGAAACGACTTTCGAGTGATTTATATTAGGCCTAAAATCCGTAGTCAAGTTCGGAGCAACCGTGGTTATAATTCAGACACGTTCGACATCAACTATTCAGAAACTTCGACACGGGTGTGGACAAGAAAGGTACAAATTTCACCATCTTTATGTGCGTATTTCTATAAAGGCCGTACCACCTCATTTCGCATTTTGGGCATACGCAAAAGATTTGGTAATTTTGTGCTTCGAGAGTAGCCGAAGCTTCCTTTTTGTCCAACTTGAAACATATTATTTTTGTGGTCCTCCGATATTAACCCACCTACTTCTAGCGACAACTGGTCCACCTACTTCCAACGACCACTATTAAACCACCTATTTATAACGACCACCATTAAAGAAACTACTTATAAGGACCACTAGTAGTGCACTAGACATTTTAAATCTCCATATTGAAGTGTTGTAGTGATAATCGGCGAGCGTATTAAAATTTTATAAATATTTTGATTGAAGTTTGAAATGATTGTACTTAGAACGAACCAACGTTGTTAAATATTCATTACGCGTAGGCTGGGGAAGTTGGTCAACACGCGATATCGATAAATATAGGAGAGAGAGAGAGAGAGAGAGAGACGGGGTACCTGATGGAAACGGGGTAGCATAGGAAATTGGTGTCGGTATGCCATGCAGTGGGTGTGAAGTCGACAATAGTTTTATCCATTATAAGACACGTCTCGTAGTTGTCGGTTTCGGGAATATGAACACTACACAACCCTTTAACCTGTCGGATACCGGATATCGGTGTTATGAAGTCCGTGTGAGCAAGGTTTGTCCAAGTCGAAGAAGCATAATCCGTGTGATCGGTGCTGACTGGTCAAATCCTTAATGTGGGCAGAGTCGATGAAAAGATCAATTAAGCCAGGTCAGCGGTGTTTATACGCCCGCTCTTCATTACCCATTATATTTTAGCAGTTTTGATATTTCTACCCGACTAAATCTGATGCCATAAGTATATCCTTTTCTTTTACAGAACTCCATGGGGATTTCCTGCACTATGCTACTCGTTTTAGCACCCCTAATACTCGATGGCCTATTCCACTAGAACAAATGTATTATAGTTATGATATTGGACTAGTCCATTTTATTAGGTAAGTCCAATTCAACTACTGTTTTAAAAATCCATAGACGTGTGTTTATCTACCAGTATGTGATTCAAAAGATTAATGGAAATGACGCGTCTTGCACGACAAGAGTTTCGATGCATAAAGACATTCAATTATCAACGATTTTATTTATTTATTCTAATATAAACAAAACAAAACAACACACTATTCTTGTTATATTTCAGTTATTCGACAGAAGTATACTTTATCCATGATCAGAATTTTGTGTGCGACCAATATAATTGGTTACTACAAGATTTAATCCGAGCAAATCAAAATCGCTCTAAGCGTCCATGGATTGTTGCCATGGGACATCGACCAATGTACTGCTCTAACACAAACAGTGACGATTGCACCGGTTCATTTATGAGGGGCTGGGTGAGATATGGGTAAGTTTTCTATGCTATCCCCCACTGGTGCACCAGAGGCGGATCTACTATAAAACCAATAAAGTTTAATCACCAGGGTCCCTAATTCTAAAGGGGCGCCAGAAGCGATATAGTCCACCTTGCTTAATAGTTTTAGGCCCTATAATAACAGTTCACACCTCAACTCTAAAACACTGTAGGTCCACAACCGACTGTTGCAATACCGCGCCTTGTTTTTTACGCCCCATAACAGTTCAAGCCTCAAGGTCCAATAATGTAGGGCCGCAACTAACCGGTGCAAAACCGGGCCTTAAAGGCCCAATACCACTCTTGTTGTAACTGAATAATATGTCCCAATCTTTATTCTGGTCAACAAATTGCACTATTTTACAATATTCCAATTAATTGATGATACAAATTTCATTTTAACACACCTAATTTAGAAAATTGGAAAAATTCAACTAAATGATTTGAAAAGCCTGACGTAAAGCTTTTCAAATGTGACTTGGATTTAAAAATATTTTTGAACCCTCTGGACAAGTAAAATAGGATTTAATGGATAATTTACACAACAGGTAGGACACTAAGACATCTAGTACTTAGAATAAGGCTATTTTTTATTTTTTGGAGCTGTCAAGCCAGCAAGAGTGTTATTGTCCCTTTAATAGTCTGCAACATCTTACCCGTGGGATTTTTAAAGTACGATTCCACCACTAATTACCAATAAACCGTCAGTAGGTGGTTGCGTTGTTCAAGTTAGGCTCTGTTTTAAATTTAGGATAAATCGTTCAATCCACCAATGGCATAGAAGCATCTTAAAGGACAATGTTGGTGTCCACCAATTTTCACTTCACAATTCTGCATATCAACAGTAATATTGGATTGTGTTAATAAACAACGTTTCTATTATCCATGTAGGCGTGAGTTTTCTAAACCATTCAACATCTCTGCTATCTGATGGTCCACATAACTGATTATGGGCTAGTGTGAATATATGTCCAAAGCTAGACCTGAAATAGGCAGATTGAACGAATCCTCTCTCAAACTATCTTACTCTTATTAGGCCAGTTCTGGATAATTAGCATAATATATATTAAAATATAATATAGATTTATCTTTATGGATTAACAAATAAACTGTAAATACCGATTTATATCTATATAATATAGATTTATCTTTATGGATTAACAAATAAACTGTAAATACCGATTTATATCTTCGACGGTCACGTTAAAGATGTATTATGTATAATTTAGATATTAAAGAGCTTATCTTTCTTACTTTAATAATTCAAAAATATATAATGAAAAATGAATATATGGAAAGAAAAGTTTAGTCAAATTACTATTCTGTGCAAAGTTGTGAATGTCTGAAGTTTTGCCCAGAATAGCGTAGTCTTGAGTGACATTGCTACAATAATAAACACGGTCTTGATTGTCCATTTTAAGGTTAATGGATAAAATGGCGGGGATAGTCTGATCCACTTAAAATCAAAGCCCTACTCGGTGATCTAGTGGGGCTGAATATGAGCTTGTCAATTGAATAAATGTCTAAATAAAAATTTATATAACATTTGAAGCAGATAAAAGGCCTGAAATAGACCGATTTAGATCATCTTTAAATACTATATCTCATTGTTCAAGTCTGTATAACAACTGTGGTGAGCTAAGAAGACGTTCATTTGACCATATTCTGTATCGTTCACGATAGGTAACTCGGAGCTATATGACAATAGGCAGATGTCGCTTTTACATACTGCATCTTTAAATAGCTAATAATAAAATAGTGTAGGCCGGCTATAAAACTTAATGGATATTCATGGGTATGAGTAATGCCGAACTTTTAATAAGTAGCAAATATTTTGATTATATCTATGACAACAAACAGAGAGTCAACAATATCTGGAGTTTATTTGATTTTCACGTGAGTAATAACATGTTATATCTGTGTTATGTAATAAACCCTCTTCAACTGTCCTTCCAGGCTTGAAGATCTGTTCTATTCTCAGGGAGTTGACCTTATACTTCAAGGTCATGAGCATTCTTACGAACGATCTTGGCCGATGTACAAACGGCAACCCATAAATCTTGATTACAACAATCCACGTGCCCCGGTACACGTCATATCCGGTGCTGGTGGTTGTAATGAAGGGCGTGATAAAGAGCCAAGAATGGGAGGTAAGTAGATTGTTAATGTCAGTTTTGATTTATAATGTATTATAAATGGTGCACGTTGAAATAAAAGATAAAATCGTGCTTCGTCATACTTAAGTAGTTAGCATGTATATTTCATATCAATGGATGTTACTAGCGGGGAGCCGCGGTGGCTCAGTGGGTAGGACGTTCGCACGATCCAGGGGTCTGTTGAGAAAGTTCGTCGGGATATTACGATGTGTCTCCCCCTTGTCAGTGGTGCAGGACAAGGACCTGGAAATGGATAACGTATAATCGTTCGGATGGGAACAAAAACCGCGGCCGTAGCGCCGCTGTCCGGGTAAAACTTCCCACATAGCACACTACATGGCATATGCCCATCTTCATTAGCCCAGTCAGTGCAGAAAAGTGGGACGTAAAACCCGATTTCATTTTCATGAGATATAGTATTTAAGTGTCGGAGGGGGGACGGGATGTTAGTCCTCAAGTATCGTCTATCGTCTAGGGAGTCCTTAACAGTGGACCTGGAGAAAAAACACGAGATTGGACAGGCGATCCTACTCTTTGTCACAGTCGAGTGGAGAATTGACACCATGCCACTTGACTCAATGTTAGACCTTATGATTTCACGCGCACACGTTAAATCAATGTTAGACCACCCAACCCTCCGAAAGGGAATCTGTGCACGATGTTAGAAAGCTGATCCTAGGTACTGAATGACCCCAGGAAAATGACAACAAAGCTTAACTTATTTTAAAATTATGTAATCCACTCCGGAATGTGACATTTAAATTAAACCCAGTACATGTTTAAAATCTTCACAAAGGGTCACCGAACATGAATATTACAAAAACAACCTAGTTAGACCATATTATAAAACACTGTTTAGACCAGGATGTAATGATAGTCTGGCCAAAGGGTCAAATTTGTCACTAAAATATTTAATTAATACCTATTCACCACATTACTTCCACCACAGGTAACAGGATTATAAACCCTTCAAGGTTTTAAAACGAAGATTGTTTTTTATCTTACTGTACAGAATTTCTGTCATCTTTAGCCCGGGTTGTGCAGTAGATGTTAATGATATGCATTATGTAAGATTTAGTTAAATAGCTGACCGTTCTCGCTATAATACTTTAAAAATAGATAATGAAAAGGGAATGTGTTGAAAACCATAGGCGTGCAGGCTCGATGAACGTTAAGGAGGTGCAGAACCTGAAATTGCCGAAAACATTTCGGGTTACACATGGCGATGCTTGTCATCTGTGAGAGGCGAAGGAGCGGAGCTTAACTGCCCCAAACGCGTTTTCCTGCTGTTCCAGTCCGTGAATACAGCAAGTTCAGTGTGGTCGACTATAGCCTACTTTAGGTCATATTCCTGAAGCAATGGCCCGAGAAATTCCTCTCTGACCATTGCTGGATTGACTTCTGGGGCCCGTTTCACGAAATTTTAACTAAGATAAAATCCAAATTTTAGTAATTTGATTGGATAATATTAGACTTGATTGTAGTGCTTAGCCAATCAAAATTGAAGTATCTACTAAAATTTGGATTTTATCTTTAGTTAAAATTTCTGCCCGAAAAGTCAGCGCCCCTTAACCCCCATCCCCTGGATCGCACGCCTATGTTGAAAATTTCAATCAAATTAACTCATTCTCAAATAACACACTAGTTATGGATAACAATTACTGTGGTTTATTTCACTGCGACTTGTGAAATCTTGTTGAAACGTCGCAGTGAAATAAACCACAGTAATTGTTATCCATAAATAGTGTGTTATTTGATTATGTTCCAATTACTAAATGCCATTTAAAGAATATGTAAATGTGAAGATAAGTATATACGTACATACAACAGTGCTACCTTTTTAATGAGATGTAGCGACATTGACCTCATACCCAAAGGCCTCACAATTAACGGCTTGGGACAGTTGCTCATGCTTGCTGATTTTGCATCCCATTGGATGGTTCGCACTGCTCGTGTATATATATATATAGCCATTTTGTTTTCATTTTATTTATTTGTGTTATATGCTTGATAACGACTTGTGAAATCTTGTTGAAACGTCGCAGTGAAATAAACCACAGTAATTGTTATCCATAAATAGTGTGTTATTTGATTACTAAATGCCATTTAAAGAATAAATTAATTCATTATTCTTTGGAGTTACGATCGTTTGGAGAATAGTGTAATCCCGATTGGCATTGCTACCAGTGTTACGATATTAAACAAAGTCCCGCTTATCCATTTATTAATTAAATCGTTAACTAGCAATCGTTGATTGTCTGGTGAGGTGATTATTGGCTTGGCATTTGAATAGATGTCTAATTAAGGATTTGCATTACATTTGAGGTCAAACGAAATATCTACGTCGTAAATTAGGCAGATTTAGCTCTTACATAATGCATCTTTAAAGCCACATGTCCTTTTTTAACTAGCATCGTCAGATTATAGCTCTCTAAACTAGCCTATAATCGAAAATTATATTATAAAATCAGAAATATTTTATCATCATTTTTATTGCATGAGAGTGAAAGCCCATATTTACCAACTACCTCATGAATAATTTTTTCGACTTTGAAATAGAATGTAGCTGGTAAATATGTGAAAAATATTCCCGATTTTAATTTTATAATATACTTTATTTTCGATTAACTTATTTGGGCTTTTATACACAAACTGTACTTGATACTTTAGCAGTTTACTGTATTCAGGTCTGTCTATTACTTATTGATGGATTGGGTGGCCGAATGGTTAACACTTGCGCGTTTTCTCCCGGGTCCTCCCACTGTTGAAGACCCCTACGCGCAAGCGAATATCGTTGAAAAAAAAATTGAACCATATTATGTTAGTCCCGAAATGATCTAGTCTCTCTCTCTCTCTCTCTCTCGTACTTATTAGTATTACCTTCTGCCTAAAAGTACCGAATTGGAAATTTTCGCCTTATTGCACATTTGACAAATTTGCATTTAAAATTTGTTGCCGTCTGTCTGAAATGATCTTGGGTTGCATGGTTTCTATGCAAATCTTAAACACTATAAATAGGCGTATGCTCACCCATCGGGCAAGTTGTACAGTTGGATAAGGGAAGTACCAAATTCTAAAATACGTGGATATAACAAATTTTATTTGATTTCGCTCAAGTAAATCAGGAAACATATTTCTTATTTTTTTAGCGAATCCTTCAATCTCGTTCAAATTGACGCATTTTGGCAGTTGGCGGTTTTAGCAAACGAGCAAAACGAACCCACCGCTAAACCGGTATAATCGTGTTCATAGTAAGGTGTTTGTTTTGTCGTTTAATGTCATGGCAATGAGTTTGACCTGTACATGACGACCACGTGTCTTATATATGTAAAACATTGTTTATATAACTTTGTTTATATTCACCATTAAATAAAGATTTACAACACACCACTACTTCATATTTTATGATCAAGTATAGAGATAAATCCAGCGGAAAATTTTAGAAATGACCGCAGACAAAGAAGGTCTAATCCGTGATCATCGACATCGACTGTGATCTTAAACATACTAAAAGGGACAATAGCTCTATTCTTTCGAAAAATTAAATTAAACGAACATGGGTCTAAAGCTTGGCGCAGACGGTCAACTTTTCATCGCTTTTTGCTGCAATAGGCAACTACTGGCAACTCGAGTTCTCCCGTGTGCGCTGACTGGCAACGAGTACCGGAGAAAAACAAATATATTTTACCGGTCGTTTCTAAGTGAAAGGCCAGTTCACTGAGACAGCCATGTTTTTTTGCACGATCCGAATACTCGGCTGAGCTTTCATCATACAATACTGGCCGCTCAGCCCACATTTCCACCAACATGTCTTCCATCTCCACGGACCATGTTAATGTTGTTAGCTGTTCCATCTTGAAGTATCACATGACAGTTAACCAGTTGCTTGTTGCCTGTTGTCGCCTTCCGCCGCAGACGAGCAATTTTGAAGCAACAGATGAACAATTTCTCGGCCACGAGCGATTTTCTGTTGTCGAATATCAAACATGTTTGATATTTGGCAACGAAAAGCAACTCGGAGCAACAGCAGGCAACTATTGTTGCCCGTTGGCGCAGACGAGCGATTTTTTCTTTCAACGACCAGCGATTTCACTGTTGCAAGAAAGTTGCTCGAAAAGTTGCCCGTCTGCGCCTGGCTTTAATGCACACTATTAATATAATATGAATGAAAATAAAGTGATTTATATTCAATTTGTATACAAATTGTTGTAATTATGAATTATTTCAAATCAAATTGAATGACAGTCGTTTACGCTTGCTTTGTTAATTCTACAGGCTTTTTTATTATTTTTTTTATCGTTTGTCAATCAGCCATTACTAATTACGTCCTATTGTTTTGTATGATATGTTTTTCTTAAAACTTAAAGCTAGGTTTACAATATATATTTACTGATAAAACTTAAAGCTATATTTACACTATTTATTAACAATACGTAAACGACAACCCTTAAAGCTAGGTTTATGCTATCTATTTACTGACAACTTAAATCTTGGTTAACAGTATCTATTTACTGACAAAACTTAAATCTAGGTTGACAATATCTATTTACTGACAACACTTAAAGCTAGGTTTATACTATCTAATTACTGATAACACTTAAAGATACATTATGTAAGATTTAGATAAAGAACTAATCATTCTTGCCATAACAGTTCGAAAGTAGATGATGTAAAATCAATAATTTGAAAATTTCATTCAAATTACTCTATTGCAAGCGAAGTTATTAGCCTTTGAAGGTTTGACAGACGTGTGCAATAATTTTAACCACCGTACTGGTTGATCGAAGCTAAGTCTCGGTCCTCCATATTTGATTAAATCAAAGTATCGCTGAAACATTCTAATCTATTTAATATCGGAGAAATCTGATGCCATCGAGAGTTGATAAAGGCCTGGATCAGTTAATTAATGTCTAATTAATACTTTAGAAAACATTTCAGGCCTAAAGAAAGACCTGCAATAGGCAGATTTAGCTCTTGCATAATGCATGTTTAAAGCTAGGTTGAAACTATCTATTTACTGATAACACTTAAAGCTAGGTTTATTGCCATCTATTTACTGACAGAACTGAAATCTAGGTTCACAATATCTATTTAGTAATATTGTATACCTTTGAATTAGTGAACGCCAGTCATCTAACCGTTTTCATTTTTATACGCCCACATTTGCATGTGGACGTATTATGCCGTCGCCCCTGTCCGTCCGTTCACAATTTATTTGTGGACACTCTACAGGTCACAATTTTTATCCGATTTTGACGAAACTTGAAATATAGGTATATCCCGCAAAGATCTCGTTTCTGTTCGATAGTGGCATGTATCGGACCTTAACTTCATGGATAATGGCCCCTGATTGTACGAAAAATCACGTTTTTAGCTTGTGGACACTCTAGAGTTCACAATTTTTACCCGATTTTGATGAAACTTGAAATGCATGTTTATAACCTAAAGATCTTGGTTCCTTTCGATATTCGCGCATATCGGATCGTAACTTCCTGAATTATGGCCCCTGATTGTACGAAATATCGCATTAGAGGTCACAATTATTATCCGATTTAAAATAACGTTACACCATAATGACGGTTGAGTTCGAATTTCATGGAAGTCGGACTAAAATGGCCGCCCCTTGTACGCGAATAGTGGAAACATCTGGTATATTAAGGTTGTGGACCCTCTAGAGATCACAATTTTGGTCCGATTTTGATGAAACTTGGAATGCATGTTTATAACACAGCGATCTTGGGCCCTGTCGATATTCGCACATATCGGATAGTAACCTCCTGAATTATGGCCCTTGATTGTAGGAAAAATTGCTTTTTGTTTAGCTTGTACTCTATCCATCTCTTACAAAATGTGGGCGTATCTTGCCTGGCAGCCACTGGTCTTGTATTTTATTCAATGTTTCAAAATTTCTCAAAACGACATTACTTAGCAAGTTATATAAGATGCCGGCTATGACATCATCCGAGTAACCGTCAGCCATTCTTTATAAACACGTGTTCTTTCTATGATAATAAGCCTGCATGCCCTGTAAATCCGTGTCTGTGTGAATACAGAAAAGGATAGTCGTGTGGCTCTGATAACTCCCCTATAATGTCATATCCGATGTCTTTATTTGATAATTATAGACGTAATGATATATATACACCCACATTAACACGTGGACTTATATTATCGTCGCCCCTGTCTGTCTGGGCGTCAACTAATTTGTTTGTGAGTCCTCTTAAGGTCACAAGTTTTACTCCATTTTAAAAACCGTTCAAATATATCACCGTTACACCCTAATGACCCTAATCGGCAATCGGACCCTAATTTCCTGCGTTTTCTAACTTTTGGCCCCTCTATACTAAAAATAACAATTTTATCTGATTAAAAAAAAACTTTCAATATATCACCGTTACCCCGTAATGAATGGTGAGTTCAAATTTCGTAAAAATCGGACCGAAACTGCAAGACAAAATGGCCACTCCTTGTGGTTAGCGCATGCGCGTTGTATCATAAAGCCTGTCATTGAGTCAACCTGGCATGGTTTCGATTCCCCGGTTGTACAGGACAAGGAGTAGGGTCGCCTGTCCAACCTCGTGGGTTTTCTGCGGGTCCCCCGGTTTCCTCCCAAGCGCATTATTGAAATAAAATTTAACCATATGCTGGTCCCGAAATGACCTAGTTTGTGTCGAGTGGACGTTAACCCATTTCTCTCTCCTTTCCTAACTTCGTGGATTATGGCCCCTGATCGTACGATAGATCGCTTTTCTTTTTAGCTCGTTCTCTGTTCGTCTCTTGCAAAATCTGTGCGTATCTTGCATGGCATGGTTTGTTATTTGGTGATGTGTAATTTTGAAGTCATTTTAGATAATTAATCAAATATAAGACACAACAGGCGTTCGACTTTAAAAGGCATCCGTCTTCATTAGCCCAGTCGGAGCCGAACAGTAAAACGTTTTTAAACCCCATTCCATTTCATTAATAAGGTAGATGTTCGATCTCAATCAGTATCATTTCCCGATATGAAAACATCATAGTGTATAATTATCGACATGAAGCCTGGGGTATATTATAGTTCTCGATTATCAAGCTAATCTTCGTCCTCATTCAATGTCTACGTCATCTAGATGAATCAACTAGAATAGCTCAACTAACTGTCTCATTATATTATCATTAAAACAGATCAAGAGCTATTCTGGTGTCTGATCAATAACTCTTTTATTTTTATAAAACATCTCGCTCATTATAGTAGATACGAAATGAAATGAAGACGGGCGTTAAACTCTCTCTATCCCCCCACCCACCCATCGATACGGAATAACAACTTATGGTGCGAGAAGTGGTGAGAGGTTTTAGAACAATATGTGCCCACTCTACTCCGTGCACAATATGTGTATAGCATTGTCGCCAGTAGATTCGATTGCCAAAATAACTTTTGAAACATTTCACTGGCATTTCTGTCGCCGAGTTGTTTCTCTCCACACTGAAGCAGTTAGCTCCCTTTAAAGGGTGTATAACCCTATTCTAAGGAACATTATAATTTATATTCATTTTTTTATATTTTATTGTAATTTCTAATCTATTAATCTGTGGGTGAAACGTCAGTAGCGAATGTTCAGTATTTATTTCTGATTCTAATGTTATAATTAAAATCGGGGGGGGGGGGATGGTCGAATGTTTAGCTGTATCATAAGGCCTGTCATTGAGTCAACTGGCGTGGTTTCGAATCCCCGGTTGTACGTGACAAGGAGTAGGGTCGCCTGTCCAACCTCGTGGGTTTTCTCCGGGTCCTCCGGTTTCCTCCCATCGCTAAAGACCCCTACGCGCAAGCGAATTATTGAAATAAAATTGAACCATATGGTGGTCCCGAAATGACCTAGTTTGTGTCGAATGGACGTTAAACCACTCTCTCTCTCTCTCTCTCTCTCTCTCTCTCTCTAATTAAAATCGATCTTTTAGTTAATGTCTGATGCTCTCTATATTTTCAGAATCCTGGTCAGCGTTTATCGATAATTCCAAGACACACGATAATTCTTACGGTAAGCTCCATGTACACAACACAAGTCATTTACACTGGCAACAAATCGCTGTTACTTCCGGTCAGGTGTTAGATAGTATCTGGCTGGTCCAGCGGGCCCACGGGCCTTTTGATACAAGTGTAGACTGTGACCTTAATAGACATGGAAGTCATAAAGTGTGTCGATGTCCAATGGTATTTCATTTTGAGACTTGTATAATTGCGTCTTCTGTTGTGTTGATTGTGATTGTGGTTACTATAGTAACGCTGTGTTGTTATTGTAAGTTTAAGAAGAGAAAAACAAATTTAAAGAAAGAATACATGCTAGCCAAGCAGGAAGCTGATTATTTAGACGATGATTTGGAAAATCTGATAGTTTAGGTCATATCACAGTCACGCCATAGAGGATCAATGAACATTAAATTGAAATCATATCACAGTCACGCCAAACAAACAACACCAATGGTATAAATGATGAAACGAACTAAGAAAGGGGGGGACGTCAACTCGACACAGCTGGGTCATTTCGGGACTAACACAGGGTTAAATTTTATTTCAATAATCCTGTTGCGCGTAGGGGTCTTTAGCACGATATTGGACAGACGACTCTACTCCTTGTCACGTACAAATGTGGGATTAAATTAAAGACAGGCCGTATGATCACTAGTGGAGGGTTGGGTGGTTGGGTGGCCGAATAGCTTAACGCGTCAAGTGAGGAGGTTTCGATTCCCCGCTTGTACGTGACAACAAGGAGTAGGGTCGCTTGTCCAACCCCTGGGTCGCCCGGTTTCCTCTCACAGCAAGCATATTATTGAAATAAAATTGAACCATATTTTAGTTTCGATTGTACTGTACCCCCCCCCCCCCCCATACACACACATACACCATCACCACCACATCCTACCCCATTACCGCCATACCACACGTAACATAATGTCATACAGACCAAATAGTATTTACTTGCCCTGTGTAACAACGCAGTTCGCACACACCAATGCCCTACTGTAATGCCCCCCCCCCACCACCACCTACCCCATTACCGCCATACCACATGTAACATAATGTCATACAGACCAAATAGTATTTTCTTACCCTGTGTAACCACGCGGTTTGCACACCCCAATGTCCTACTGTAATGCCCCCCCCCCTCCCCCCAACACACACACACACACACACCGCATCCTACCCCATCACCGCCATACCACATGTAACATAATGTCATACAGACCAAATAGTATTTTTTTACCCTGTGTAACCACGCGGTTCGCACACTCAAAGCCCTACTGTAATGCCCCCCCACACACACACCCGTCACACCCTACGCCATACCACATGTAACATAATGCCATATACAGACCAAATAGTATTTTCTTACCCTGTGTAACCACGCGGTTCGCACACTCCAATGCTCTACTGTAATGCCCCACACACCCACACACACCACACCCTACCCATCACCGCCATACCACATGTAACATAATGTCATACAGACCAAATAGTATTTACTTACCCTGTGTAACAACGCAGTTCGCACACTCCAATGCCCTACTGTCAGGCCCGTAGCCAGCTTGCTAGCTTCGGAGGGGCAGTGGAAGTTTTTAGGGGGGGGGGGGGCATACCTGGCACAGTCTACAGTAGGTATTTTAGAGCTATGGCTATGGTCGGCAATTTTTTTTCGGGGGGGGGGGGGGGGGGCTACTGTAATGATCGCATTGTTTTCATGGTTTCCATTCGTTATGTTAAATAAAGAGGCCACACAGTTCAGTAATTACCAAGCCTTGTTTCCCGATATATGAAATTAACTTGAAGGACAATAATTATTGCAGGAATAACACACTTCCGTCCATTCCTGGAGCTTATACTGTATTCAATTGATTGTGTTAAATGAGTAAATTATATTTTTTATATTGTTTAAATCAAACAGCTGCTGCTGCCGGAGCAACAGTGGTGTTTTTTGTAATTTAAATATGCCTCTCGCTAATAATCTGTGAATCTGAGCTTTTGATCAGAAACTTTATATTTCCGGCTTCTGATAATATATTTTGTATCTCTTAAAAACGCCACTTCCTGTCATTTTAGCAAACATGCTTGTGTAGTTTTCTCCCTTATCACTTGCCATTTCATTGGATTTATAATAGTATATCGGATATGAATAGAAAAATAGTGGTCTAGACGTTTATTTTAGAAAGGCAAAGGCCAATATTTATTACAACTTTTTCGACTGGTTACGCGGAAGTGAGTATTACTATGACGACCATAGAACACCAATTACAAAGTCACGTTGATCTGACGTTAGCATCGCCATTAAATTGCCTCTATTTAAGATTTTGTACCTCAGATTTTATTGGGATTGAAGATTTAATGGCTTTTGTCCAGTCTTGATTATATATTAGTTGTTGCCCGACCTTGATTACATATTAGATGTTGTCTAGTCGTGATTATATTTTAGATGTTGTCCAGTCTTGATTACATTTTAGATGTTATTCAGCCTTGATTACTTTTTAAAATGTTGGTCAGCCTTGATTACATATTATATGTTGTGTGTGCATAGAATATGATTATATTTGCAGGGTTTTTTTTACACGACCCTACTTTTACCTCATTCAATACTGGATTCCATCTACATTCATTTTAAATTTTATCCGAAATTGTTGATTCCTTCAATAAATAGTCGCTTATGATTCCGACTGCGTGTATTCCGGAAATGACACCACATCCGGTATTGCGTTAACATCCGTGTTATGAAATAGGTGTACCTTCTTTTCTCTAAAACCTCTTCGTGGCCTTTAACAAGTTATCTCTTTATACAATGAATGCGGGCCTTTAATTGATATATTTTTCGTTTTTATCTGTATAAAATAACTATACAAATCATGTTGTGTGTGATAACCGCATTATTTATTATTAACACATAGTCAATGTATGCCACCGTTGAATAGTACTACATGTATGTAGATTATGATGTAGACAACGATTGAATAGTTCTGTATGATGTATAAAACCGTTGAATAGTAATATATAAGTTATAAAACATTGAATAAGTAATAGGTAGGCTATAAAACCGTTGAATAATAATAAATAGGTTATAAAACCGTTTAATAGTGCTATGTAGGTTATAAAACCGTTTAATAATAATATATGGTTTATAAAACCGTTGAATAGTACTATATAGGCTATAAAACCGTTGAATAGTAATATGTGAATTATAAAACCATTGAATATTAGTATGTAGGCTATAAAACGGTTGAATAATAATAATAAACATGTTATAAAACCGTTGAATAGTTCTATGTAGGCTATAAAACAGTTGAATAGTTCTATGTAGGCTATAAAACAGTTGAATAATAATATAAATTATGGGTTATAAAACCGTTGAATAGTTTTATGTAGGCTATAAAAACGTTGAATAGTAATATATAGGTTATAAAACCGCTGAGTAGTTCTTTATAGACCATGCAATCTATACAATTATTGAATAGTTCTGTATTATGATTTGTTAATACAATGTTGATAATGATGTTATACTGAGAATGTAATACAATGACCACAATGAAGATTGTATGGTAAATCTTTGTGTTGAAATTCATAACGATTCGTTCACATCATAACATACGTTCACGCACAATGCCTTACTCTAGGTAGGGTAGAGCTTGGATGTTCGATAATTAAATACATCTGCGGTTATTGTGAATTCGGAAACATTTATCTTCTTCTTATAAGTGATAATGCCACATAAAATCTTTAAAAATAATGTCTATGTACGTTTTCTAGTATATAGATATGTTAAAGGCACATTGGTCTTTATCGTGTAACACATTTGACGCAGCTAAAAGATTTAGACATTTGGCGCAGCTAACATTATCAGACATTTGACGCATTAATTAGACTATGTTCACACGACATCTAATTCAAGGCTCGATGCATTACCGCCGAAAAAAAAAGAATCAAATTCTTCGCGGCTTTAATAAACACTAAATATGTACTCAGTCTGATTATTTAACATTTAACGAAATCAAAACACGAACGCAAGAAAATCCCCGGGATTAGATTAAATCGGATTGAAGCTAGGCTTATCCTGTTTCTCCGTTGCCAATACAAGATGGCGATTTAAATTCCACATATCTTTGTAAATACAGAACGGGATTGATCCATTTTGGACTGATATTAATATTAAGAGATTAAACTTTCACCGTATTAAAGTTTGTAAGGGTTTCATATAGCACTGGACCTTCAATCCCTATACCTGGGATTGTTACTTTGCTGTGTCAGTGTCTAGATATGCAGTATTTGCTGCGTGTTCCATTAAATAACACCATTAATGTGACGTCATTCTCCAATAACCCAGGCGATTTGATAATCTTATAATTATTTATATGTTTATCTTGCGTGTTTTTTAATTCCATAATAATAATAATACCTCACTTGTAACTATAGCCTTATTCACATGACGCCTAAAGATATATTATATATTTAATCGTTTATTTATTTCAAAGCTCCATATAAAACAAAACTTTGGTGGCTTGGTATCGATTTTATCTCATTAACGCCAATGTCCAGGTAGCCTTAGTTACAATTATTTAAATCGATTGCAATATTAAAGTTGTCTCGATGCACCTGAAGGCAAATACACATTTCCTTATGTGACTTTAATAATACAGACGGAGGGCCTGACATGGACATTGTCTAGTCGTTCGGATTGGACGAAAAACCGAGGTCCCCTGTACACATTGGTATTCAAGTAAAAGACCCCTGCGCAGTTTGAATTCGAAATAAGAGTAAACCGTTGCGCCCCTCATGGGACAAGAATTCTCTCATAGCGCACCGTGTTACCTATGCCCGTCTTCATTAGCCCCAGTCGGTGCAGAAAAGTAGGACGTTAAAACCCATTTCATTTCATTTGTTTTCATATAGAACCTATTGTTGTTTAATTCAGCAGAGAATTCAATTACTAAATTACCTCAGGTTTCTTTTCATGCTGTGTATGAAACAAATGAAGACTCCAGGGGAAAACTGGTGATGTCACGTTTTTTGACTTTTGAGTAAATGGAAGTTTCCAGTTTAAACACCCATTTCTTCAGTTTAGAAGAGTTTTTTTTAAAATATTGCAAGTTTCTATGAAGAATCATGCATTTAGTGAGAACATTAATTAAGCTGGTGCACACTCCCATAGAATTCCTATGGTGTATTTTGGGCATTTGATTTGACTGACCATGGTTTGGACATCACCAGTTTTTTCCTTTTATGCCTTTCAAAAAACTCTCTGTAGAGAGTGACATGTCCAGTTGTTCCATACAATATTTATGGAGAAGAAAGGATGGACCAAGGGGTATAATCATGGGGAAGTAATCGAACAAAAGCATAAATGTGGACATCACCAGTTTTTCCCCCGTGGGAAAACTTTGTAACTTATTTGTGTCAGCTTTATAATTCAGTATTGTTCTATATAGTCTACTATTATTATTTGTTATTATTATTGGACCATTTCGTTGATGGAGGCGATACCCTTCAAAAAAGCCCATGACTTCGCCAATTCAAGTGCGATCGACACGACACTTAACATGCTTCGTCCTTGGACAATTGTGTATCGATTGACGGACTTTGATTCGTCATATGACGCCATTGTTTCAAGATGGCGGCAATGATGTCATGCCCGGTCCCAGTTTCAAATGGAACTTG